CATTACATCTACAATTGTTGTCATATTTGCTTGATTATTCTGTAACAATAAAATTTGTCCCTGTAAATTTAAAATTATTTGCTCAGCATTTCGGGTTCTATTTTTCCACTTACCCCATTTAAGATCGAGCTGGATATCATATAAATGTAAATCATTTCCCAACGTATCTATTCTGATACGACATTGTTGTAATTCTAAAAAATATTGTTGGCGTGTATTTCTTTCATTGTTATATGCCATTGTCATCAAATTAAGATCATTCAAGGCGTTATCTAAATCGGTTTGACGTAAATCTCGTTCTGTCTCAGCATTATATCGATTCTGTTGCTCGTTTATTAAATAAGTTTGATCGTTAGTATATTTTCGACGAATTTGCCTTGTAGCTCTTTTTATTTGGTCAACTAAAATCCTTCTGTCTGTTCTAGGATTATCTAAATAACCATCTATAGCTTTTGATAAATCTGGAATTGTTGTCATATCTGTATTGGGAGTATAACTATCCTGAGAATTTTTATTGGAATCTTCTGAATTTGATTCATTGTCTATGTTCCATGCCTCTGCAACACGTAAAGTTTCTCGAGTATTGATAAGTTCTAATTTATCCTGATAATGCAATAACCTAATACCAAAATTTTGACAATGCAAATCAGTTATACGAGTTTTTTTCAGAGTTAATTTATTGTCTCGATCTTTAAGATTATATTTTAAAGTATTGATTTCACGTTTCAAACGCTTATTCTCATCTATTAGCTTTGCCATCTGATTATATACTTTAGGAGTATTACCTGCTGATTTGGATATTTCCCGAATTCGGGTTTTGAGTTTCTTCTCCCTTACATCAAATTCGGCTAATTGATTTTCTCTACTAGCTAGCTCCTTGTCTTTTTGCTCAATTTCTTTTTTAAGCCGGTAAACAATCTTTTTTAGGTCTCTGATCTCCCCTTCCAGCTCCTCCCTTTCTTGTATTGAAAGTTCGATTGTATTCGCTAGCTCCTCCTCGAGATATCGGATTCTTTCTTCACGCAAAACTATATCCCTTTCAAGGTTGTATATTCGACGCTCATATTCCCGGTTTGATTGAGCCAATCGGTTAATTTCCTCATGGAGCTCTTGATTAGCTTGTCTTAATTCTTCCATGATTTTTTACTAACTATAATAATAAAAGTTATGAGTGAACCTGTAATTTATATTGACTCACAAAGGGCTCGTGAACTTGACCGTGAAATTGCTTTACAAAAATTATATTACCATCCTGAAGGGTACTATCGAACTGCTGAAAAAATGCATAATGCGTCACGTATAGCTGGTTATAATTTTTCGTTAACAGATATTAAAAACTGGTTAAATAAACAGGCTTTATATCAAATTCATAAACCACGTCCACGATTTATTCAGTATGCCTCTTTTAATGATATACAAGATTTAAACGAAATGCATCAATCTGATCTTACTCCTATGCCTTATGATAAAATTGGAAATCGAGTTTTTAAATATAAGCTTGTAATAAAAGATGTGGCAACTAGATATCAAAAAAGCTGTGCATTAACTAATAAATCAGCTTCTACAGTTGCTAAAGCAATTAAGAAAATTTATGAAGATTCTAGTCATTCACTTTCTTGGCCTAAAAAATTTAGAACTGATAAGGGTCAGGAATATTTAGGTGAATGTAGAGATTTATTACTTAATTATAAAGTAAAACCTCAATACGCGAAAACTAAACGAGGTGTAGCAGTTGCGGAACGTGATCATCAAGAATTTGAAAAGCATGCTTTTTTTCGTCAAGATGCTGCAGATTTTCATTTGCCTTTATCCGAGAGATCTAGAGATTGGATCAAAGGTCTTCATATCAATGATGATACATTTAATAATTCTATTACTTCCTTAATAGGTATGTCTCCTAATGAAGCAGTAAAATGTGCATTAAAAGATGAAAAAATTATTTCAAAACCGGCTGTAAAACATCGAAGACCTATAGGGTGTGATGAGCCTCTTATTCCTAATTATGCAGAAGTTCGTCATCTTTTAGAACCGGGGGAATTAGAAGGTTGGAAAAAAAGGATAACTGATTGTAACTGGTCTCCTGAAACATTTACAATTGATTCTTATTTAATAAAAGAAAATCAACCTGTTCTTTATAAACTTTATAATGGTCCGAAACGTTCATTTGTAAGAGAAGAACTTCAAATTATTCCTCAGGACACAATGCTACCACCCTATTATATTCTCAAGCATTAGATTTACCTCCTCTCTCCTCCACTTGATTTATAATTTGTTCGAAAGTATTACTCAAATAATTATCTATTTCTGATCGATTATATACTATAATTTGCTTATTTCTAAGCCAGTCTGTTCGTGAGTTCTTTTTCTTATCTTTTTCCTTATTATCGGGTTTGTCGTCTATAAGAAATTTTGTAAGAGAACATAAAGAAAATTTGAATTGCCCGCGTTTATCAAACTCTTTTTCAAGCAATTCCCGAAATGGTTTTCTTTGACTCTCCAACATTTTTCTTATATCATTTCCATTATCTGGATGATATCTAGGAACTTTTGCATTGTGTACAGCAACTGCTCACCTTTTTAGTGCTGGGCCTAATTGTTGTTCTCAAAATATTATGCTTTTTTCGTGATCTCCAGTAATCATACTGAGACGTTCAAATTCCTCATTTGTCTGGTCCATTTCCAAAGGAATTTTTTTAGATTGTTCATTTTTTCCCTCCCGATGAGCTTGAGTTTTTGGACCTGGGCCAGCTTTAGGGGGTTCTATAACTTGCCTTTTAGCGGGCTGTGATACTTGTCTCTCTACTTCAATTTCAGGTTCTCCAAAGAATTCTTGTTCTTCTTTCGTCTGTTTTGTAGGTTCTATATTGATATATGCTTCTTCATCTATTTGTAATAAAGTATCATAAAGAACTTGACAAGCTTTTAAAATTCGTGGTTGATCATAATTTTCATGACATAATTCCTTATACCTTTTTTGTAATCTTGAACCCCATTGCTTTATAGTTTCACCTGGCTTTCTGTCATTAGCACACTTGGGTAAGATTGAATTTCTTGATATATTATGACTCTGCTGAGGAAGCTTTTGAATACTATCCACTTCCAAGTTCGTAACCAAGGATGGGGCTTCAAACTTGGGTAATAAATTAGATACTTGCAATGGAACTAATTCAGAAATATTGATAGGTACTTGAATAGGAGTAGATAATTGAGTACATTGATTTTTATCGCTAGCATAATGCTGACGAAGTTTTTGTGGTGTTGAAAGACTACTATTACAGCATACACAAATTGTACTTTTTTTATCTTTTCTAACCATGGTATGTGCGTTTTGTTTTTATATATACTGTGTAAACTTTTGTTCAATTAAAAAATTTTATTCGTTGTATATATACTGTGTAAACTTTTTTTCAATTTAAAAATATTATTCGTTATATATAAAATGTTGGCAAAGTATACTTGTGATTATCTTCATAACTCTGGAAAAGTTTGTAGCAAAGTTTGTACTCGGCCTGAAGGATGTCGGCATCATTATTTAGCTAAGAAGCGATATCCTTGTACTGATTATAGTAAGCCTACTGGATCAGCTTGTGGGCGATGTAAATTGCATAAAAGAGGGTACTATATGATTCAGTATGTTAATAGGTTACGAGAAAAAGCCCATGAAAATAGTGTATCAGTAAGTTAATCTAGAGTGTTAAATACCGAGGACAATTTTCGATATTAAGAGGTTAGATTTATTTTGTATATTGGGAACTTAATCTAGAGTACTAAATACCAAGGACAATTTTGATATCAAGAGGTTAGATTTAAGGTTAGATTTATTTTGTATATCTGGAACTTGATCTAAAGCATTAAAACCAAGGACAATTTTCAGTATCAAGAGGTTAGATTTAAGGTTAGATTTATTTTTGCTATCCTAAAAAGTTTTCTAAGGAAAATTAAAGCTTATATATAGCATGAGGAAATTAGGACAAAATATATTGATATTGTGTATGGTTTAAACATAAATCTAACCTCTGTGAGGTTAGACTTATGATATTAAAAGGTTAGATTTAGTAAAATAATATGTAATTTAGCTTGCTACACGTCAGAGAAGGGATCATGGATATTTATTACATTCATATCCTTCACCGCTTCTCTTTGTTTTTTTAACAGCAACCAGAGTAGCATAAAATAAATCTAACCAAATTATATCGAAAATGTGGCGCAAAACATAAAACACACGTCATTCGAGTGAGGTCTAAAACAAAAATCCCACGTCATAGTTAGACTTATAAATCTAATCCAAAATCGATCATGGATTTAAGCTTCTAGCAGACGCAGTACACTATTGTCAATATTGATGGTTTTGTTCCAAAACCCCCAAATTTCTAATGTGTGGTAAACCAAAAGGTATACATATAATTCTTCAAGAGTGAGGTTTATGGAAAGATGGAATGATTGGTTTTTGTAAAAATACATTGTCTAGAAAAAATTGTTATATGTTTTATATTTGGAGTAACAAGTAAATTTTCAAAATTAACATTATTTAATATAAGAAATTATAGAGAATAAGGAACATAAAGTAATATTTTATTCTAAATTTCATTGCGAATTTAATTTTATTGAACTTTATTGGAGAGATTCCAAATGATATGCAAGAAGAAAATGTGATTATACATGGTGAGGTCTAAAACAAACTGTACCTGAAGCTCTTTATTCAGTTCCATTAAAACAAATTCATAAATATGCTCAAAAGGTATTTAGATTTATGGATACATATAGAAAAGGACTTAATATAAAGCAAGTAGAATATGCTGTTAAAAAATATAAAAGGTATTGTATTATTCCTCAAAGTATTTTTGATGAATTATAAAATAAAAATAAAATAATAAATTGAAGTCACATGTCATCTTATTTTTTGAAATTTGTCACCTTTTGGTCACCTGATTTTATATGTTATATATAACTTTGTAAATTTGGCACCCTATATAAAAGTGTTTGTGACTAGGCGGTGTTAGCTTGTTTCTTTCTCTTATTTTTATATATTATTTTATTCTTTATATGTATTATCATTTATATATTATAT